GAATCACACACACACACACACACACACACACACACACTCTCCTGATTCAGAGCCCTTGATGATAACTGACAACGGGCCAATGGGAAAATAATGCATGTTAAGTGTAATTGCTGTTACATTCTGAGTTTGGGTTCATTTTTAAAAATTCAGCAGTCTGGGGTCAATTATTCCTCATATACCAGCAGTCCTTGACTTGAAAATAGCCCAAACCACATGTTACTTGTTTAAAAAAAAAAAGAGGTAAACAATAAATATAAATCTTCTAGTTTTGTGTGAAGTTACATTTACATTAATGCATTTTGGCAGACACCTTTATTCAAAGCAACTTGTGTTGTATTCAAGGTGTGCATTTGATCAGTTCATGCATGAATCAGAACCATGTCCTTGATGTTGTGAGCATCATGCTCTGTTGTGAGTGTGTGAGTGCTGAATCGTCTGTGTTTGTTGTCCAGGAAGAGGACGGATCCACAGGCCTCCATCACGCTGCCAAACTGGGAAATCTGGAGGTGGTGATGCTGTTACTGAGCACCGGACAGGTGGATATAAACGCACAGGTGTGTTTCTGAGCTCATCAACTCAGATGTTTTCTATGGAAGCTGGTTTCCACAATGGAATAAAACAATTAAGAAGGTAATTGCGGCCTTTAAATAATTCAGACTTCTTTTTAGAATTGTGAGACAAACTCAGAATTGCGAGATATTAACTCACAATTCTGAGCCCATATCTCACATTTCTGACTTTTTTCTCAGAATACAAAAAATATATATAGCCGGAATTAAAAAAGTCACAATTACCTTTTTATTATGTGGTGGAAACAATTTCACAATTCTAACTTTTTGGAAGTTGACGTCTCACAATTTGAACTTTTCTTCTCAGAAATGCAATTACAAGTTATAAACTTTCTTCTCCGAATTGCAAGATATAAACTCCTAATTGCGAGTTAACGTCTTGCGATTATTCATATCTCAGAGCTCTGACTTTTTTTTTCAGAGTTTTTTTTTTTTTATAGAATTATGAGATTAAAAAGTAGCAATTACTTTTTTTTATTCCATAGCAGAAACAAAATCACAATGCAGATTATTTTTCTCACAATTAAGAGTTTATATCTCACAATTCAGACTCTTCTTCTCATAATAGCAGTTGTATATCACGATTATGAACTCACAATAAGACTTTTCTTCTCACAAACTCGCAATTGCGAGATAATTCTGATTTTATGTCTCTCAATTCAGAATTGCAAAAAAAGTCTAAGATTGTGAGATTTTTAACTTGTAATTGAGAGAAAAAAATTCTGAATTGTGAAATGAATTTTTTTTTATTTTTGTATTCCATGACGGAAACAAGCTCACAAGACTTGACTTATTTTTCTCGCAATTATGAGTGTATATTTTGACTTTTCTTCTCAGAATTGCAACTCGACTTGTCTTTGCGGAATTGCAAGTTATAAACTCACATATGTGAGTTAACATCTCATAACAACTCTGACTTTTTTTCTTAGAATTATAAGTTTATATCTTGCCATTCTGTTTTTTTTTCTCAAAAGTCCCAATTTTTTTATTCCGTGGCAGAATAAAAACACTTTTTTTCTCACAATTATGAGTTTTATAGCTCTCAGTTCGGATATTTTTTTTATTTTTAGAATTGCAAATTTTTTTCTTGTAATGAATAATAAGACTTTTCTTCTCTGAATTGTGAGTTATAAACTTGCAATTGTAGTTAACATTTTGTGGTGGAAATAAGCTTTCCTAGTTTTCACCTCATCTCTGTGTTTCAGGATAGCGGCGGTTGGACGCCCATCATCTGGGCGGCAGAACACCGACATATAGACGTGATCAGAGCTCTGCTCAACAGAGGAGCCAACGTCACGCTCCGAGACAAAGTGAGTCTTATGAATCCTGTGAGTCTGGCAGGAAATGCGACGGCGCTCTCACAAAGTCTGTCTGTCTGTGCAGGAGATGAACGTTTGTCTGCACTGGGCGTCGTTCTCGGGCAGCGCTGAGATAGCGGAGCTGATCCTGAACGCCGGCTGTCCTCTGTCGTCCGTTAACCTGCACGGAGACACGCCGCTGCACATCGCCGCTCGCGAGGGCTACATCGACTGCGTCACGTGGGTCAAACGCCGCCTGAAAGCTGTTTTTGGTGTCGTAGGCTCATCTGACATCTTCTGTTCGTCTTTACTCCAGGCTGTTTCTTTCTCGTGGTGCTGACATCGACATTATGAATAAGGAGGGCGACACGCCGCTCTCTCTCGCCCGCTCTGACACACCCGTCTGGGTGGCGCTACAGATTAACAGGAAGTTGCGTAGAGGAATCGCCAATCGCATTGTACGGACAGAGAGGATCATATGCAGGTCAGTGTGTGGTCTTTAATATGGAGAATGAAATATGAAATGAATACATTTGAGTATTTATTTATGAACTACTGTTATTTCTTCATATTTTGAATTAGCTTTTATTTTTATATTTTCCGTTTTCATTTGAATTAGATTTTAATTTTGAGTTTTGTCATGCTTTTGTCATTTTTATTTTTGTTAGATTTTTTTGTTTTATATAATTTAAAAAATATATATTTTTTATAATATTTTTAATCTTTTTTTTTTTTTAGTTTTAGTAATTTTAGTACTTCAACTTTTTCCGGTTAGTTACAACAACTTATTCAACTTATTTATTTATTCAGTTAGTTGGCAAGGCAACATTTATCATTTTAATTTAGGTTTTAGCAATTGTATGTACTTTGGTCATTTTTATTAGTTTTTATTTTTCTTAAAATATATTTAGCTTTAACATATTTTTTTTTCTTTTTTTTTTTTAGTAATTTTATTACTTCAACTGATACTTATTTATTTCAGTCAGTTGCCAAGGCAAAATTTCACATTTTAATTTAGGTTTTAGGCATTTTGGTATGTTTTTAAGTCAATTTTTTATTATTTTTAATATTTCTACTTCTTTTTATTTATATTTTACTTTTAGTAAATTATAGAAATATTATTGTTAGAAATATATTAATAAATATATTAATTTGTATTAATATATATAATTATATAGAATATATAATTTTTATTAATATTGATATTATTTGTTTTTTCCCATTTTAGTACTTCAACTTAAATGTGTTTATTTTTAGTTAGTTGCAAAAGTAATATTTTAAGCTTAAGTTTTTCTTCTAATATCATTAAAATTATTTTATGTCAGCTTTATTTCAATTTTTGCAAACTACTTTTAATACTTTTAGTTTTAGTTAATAACACTGGTGTGTGTGTGTGTGTGTGTATGTATGTGTAGTGACGTGGCTCAGGGTTATGAGAACGTTCCCATCCCGTGTGTTAACGGCGTTGATGATGAAGGCTGTCCGTCTGACTACAAATACATCGCAGAGAACTGTGAAACATCCACCATGAACATCGACCGCAACATCACACACCTGCAGGTGCCAGTCCATACACAAAACACACATACTTCACACAACACTCAGCAACCTTGGGCTCGGTTAGATTTTTAATGCTCACCAAGGCTGCATTTATTTGTTCAAAAATTCAGTAAAATCAGTAATCTTGTGAAATATTATTACCATTTAAAATAGCTGTTTTCTACGTGAATACATTGTAAAATGTAATTAATTGCAGTGATGCGCAGCTGAATTTTCAGCATCATTACTCCAGTCTTCAGTGTCACATGATCCTTCAGAAATCATTTTAATATGCTGATGTGCTGCTCGAGAAACATTTCTGATTATTATCAGCGTTGAAAACAGTTGTGCTGCTTTTGTGGAAACTCGGGATTGATGAATAGAAAGTTCAAATGAACAGCATTTATTTGAAATAGAAATCTTTTGTAACATTATAAATGTCTTTACTCTCACTGATTCATTTAATGTATCCTTGATTAATAAAAGTATTACTTTCTAAACTTTCAAAAAAAGCTTTATTCTGTTACTTCCAGTCTTGAAATATGGTGCAAACAAATCATTGCTTTGAATTGATTCATTGAAATTGACTTTTAAAACAACTGATTCATGGAAATGATCTCTCAGCTGTAATTGATTCAGACTCTTTTTCAAATCAATTCAGACACTTTTATGACTAAACCAACCAAAAAGAGGGATCTGTTATCAAATCAATGTCAATAATAAAAAAAAAAAAAAACTTATTTGCAGATAAATAAAAATAAACCCCTTAGAGAAAAGACTTAGGACAATAGAAACAAAAAACCCACAATTTTTTTTTCTGTTACTTATATATATATATTTGCAGTCATCTGTGTGCTGCAGAAATTCAGAGCTGATTTTCTAGACAGCTGTTTGGTGTGTTTGTTTCAGCACTGCAGCTGTACAGACGACTGTTCCTCCAGTAACTGTCTCTGCGGGCAGCTCAGCATCCGCTGCTGGTACGACAAGGTAAAATACTGCTTCATCCCCACGATAAGATCTAAAATGAGAGAACGAAGGCTGTGTGACAGCAAACATGTGTTCTCGTAGGATCATCGCCTCCTTCAGGAGTTTAATAAAATCGAGCCTCCTCTGATCTTCGAGTGCAACATGGCCTGCTCCTGCCATAAGGCCTGCAAGAACCGAGTGGTTCAAGCTGGAATCAAGTAAGCCGGGATTATTTTCATAATAAATTTGCTGAGTTGAGATGATTTGCATGTCAAATGAACCTCAGGTTTTTTAAAGAAAGCACTTTTGCATAAGCTGCAGGCTGAAGTGGATTGTGTGTTTCAGGGTGCGTCTGCAGCTCTACCGAACGGAGAAGATGGGATGGGGCGTCAGAGCGCTTCAGGACATTCCTCAAGGAAGTTTCATCTGCGAGTGAGTAAAGCCATTCAGACCTGTGGAGACCAGCTTGACAGACCAGCTCAGGCCGGTTTAAGCCTGTGATTTCTGCTGTATTTCTGCAGGTATGTTGGCGAGCTGATCTCTGACGCAGAAGCAGACGTGAGGGAGGACGATTCGTACCTCTTTGACCTGGACAACAAGGTGTCGTGTCACTGATTTCAGGCCAGATTGAAGACATGTTTACAAAAGGAGTGACAAAATCATGCAACACATGCAATCGCTGACACACATTTGCAGCGAGACTATTGACACCAAGAGCCACACAAGTCTAGCTAAATGTAACTATAATATCACACAGCTCTAATCTGATAAATGCGACTATAAGGCATGAAGATATTAAGATATTATAAACATTAGCATCTGCTTTTAAACAAAGTGCATTGTGAAAAGCTATATACAAATACATAACGAATTTGAAAACCACTGAAAAAATGTTTTGATTTCCTGCCCAAAAGCAGCATGCATGCTGGCTATCCATGTGCTTTGATGCAAAATGCAATGCAGTATAAAACCCATCTATGTGCAATGTGAGTAATATTTTGTACTCACACTACAAGAGCCACACTATCAGCATCTATTATCTGGAATACCAGGCCATCAGATGGTTTATATATTGTATACTTTACATATTATTGTTGTTTTTATTAATTTACTGAATTAGCTTTTATTTATATAATTTCATTTAAATTTTTGTTTATTTGTGCGTAATTTTTAACCTTTTTTATATTACTATTTAGATTTCAATGTGATTTAAGTTTTATTTCAGTTTTAGTTTTCGATTTATGTTCAGTTATTCATTCTAGTGCTTCCAATTTATTTCAGTCAGTTGCCAAGGCATTTTTGTTTATTATTATTATTATTATTATTATTATTTACATTATATTCTATTATAGTTTTTATTAATATATTGAATTAGCTTTTATTTTTATAATTTGTTTCATTTTGATTTTCACTTTAGTAAAATGTAGTAATTTTGCTCTGTTTGTCATTTTTAGTATATAACTCCTTTTTATTGATATTTTTCGATCAGAGAGAGATGAAAGACAATATAACATGTTTCAATACGTTGAGCAAAAAACGAACAAAATTAAAATGAGATTAAATAAAAAAATTCATTTTTCTCTGAATCCGTTACAAAAAAAAGTACATGCTCCAAAATTCACAAGTAAAATATAGAACAATAATATATATTCATAGTACATATATCCATTCTCTGTCATTTTTATTCATTTTTTTAATATTACTATTTATATTTACATTTATTTTAGTTTGGCTATAGTTCTTATTTATTTTCAGTTATTAATTTTACTGCTTCAACTGAAACATATTTCAGTCAGTTGCCAAGGCAACATACATCTAATTAATGTTTGTTTTTATTATTATTATTATATACATTACATATTATAGTTTATATTAATATATTTAATTAGTTTTTTACCTTTATTTTTATAAAGTTTTGTATTATTTACATTATATACAATTATAGTTTTTGATATATCGAATTTGCTTTTATTTTTATAATTTCTGTCTCATTTTCATTTTCGTTTTAGTAAAACTTTTAGCAATTTTGATCTTTGCTTTTATCTTTAATTATTATTCTGTAATTACTATTTAGGTTTAAGTTTATTTTATTTCAGTTTTATTTTTTATTTCTAGTTAGTGATTTTAGTGTTTCAACAAAGTTTTTCATCTAATATTTTCATTTTTATTTATACGTTATTTCAGTTAACGAAAATGTTTTTAATAGCTTTAGTTAACTATAATAACCCTGTCTGTCTCAGGATGGTGAGGTGTACTGTATTGACGCCCGTTACTACGGTAACATCAGCCGCTTTATAAACCACCTGTGTGACCCCAACATCATCCCCGTACGTGTGTTCATGCTGCACCAGGACCTGCGCTTCCCTCGCATCGCCTTCTTCAGCTCCAGAGACATTTTCACCGGACAGGAGCTCGGGTGAGAGATGATTGTTTGTAATCTCACAGGTGAACACTATTTAATTGCTTTATGGTTTTATGGCACACAACCTCACGGCTCGATCCCTAGGAATCGGTTGTATTTGCATCCTGTTCCTGTTAATACATTTTCCTCCTGTTTGTTTTATGATGACTGATTTTTTTTTTTTTTATCTCCGACAGGTTTGATTACGGCGATCGTTTCTGGGACATCAAGAGCAAATACTTCACCTGTCAGTGCGGCTCAGAGAAATGCAAACATTCGGCGGAGGCCATCGCACTGGAGCAGAGCCGGCTGGCCCGTCTGGAAGTCTGTCCCGAAACAGCCGGTGAAGCCGGACTCCCTGTGTTAGGACCCTCGTGATGAAACCCTGAAATGGGACGCACACATGTACAGCTCTCAAACGTGTGCTTACATGCAATTATCACAGTGAAGGTTGTGTTTGCATCTTTGCATTTCTTCCATCTGACAGGACACAGGAAACTATGAAATGACACAACGGCCTGAAGTTCAGCCCACGCAAATGCCTTTTGAAAATACCACCAGGAAGTGACATTCAAATTCAAGGCCGTCATTCCTGCTCGGACTAGGAGGGGAAATGTTGCAAAACCTGTGATTTTATGCAAACTGTCATCAGATCACAAACAGACCCTCTTTTGCATTAAAAATAGTGAGTTTTTTTTGTATGTCTAATTGTTTTAATAAATACTGTTTGATACAGAAATGTCTTCTCCTTTTGTCGTTGTTCTCACAAATCACAATTTACCATGGTAATCAAATGCAATAGTTCAATTATTGTTTTTATTACTACTGTAGAATCATAAATTACCATTAGAAGTGATACTGAGGTGGTACCATAGTACAGTGAAGGTTTTAGATGGTGACATTGTGGTACTTTGATAAATACCATATTTATTCACCACACAATTTACATGATATTTTACAGTTTTCATATTGCACATTCTTCCTCATGTGTTGACTTGTATTATTAGTCAAAAAGTGTGTCATTGAGTGGATTGTAGTACTCATTTCTGATAAGAGTCTGGATTACTGTACAGATAAATCAATAATCCAGGGTCAGTGTTATCAGTCTTAACTCTACTGTGTTGTGAAATGAGGATAACAGTGAAATCTAAAGATAGTAAACAGAAGCTGTCTATTATTTAGTTTATACTTATTTTGTTTGAACTCCACCAGTTTCATGACATAAAAAAAAGAGTACAGTAAATATACAATATATGCACACATGAAGGTTAAATATAAACTATTTTAGCAGCGTTCAAACGTTTTTTATACAGTCTGGTTCAAACCAGGGGCGGCTCTAGAGGTGAGCTGAAGGAGCTGAAGCCCCGAATCAATGTTTTTATTTGTTTTCAGTTTTCATGCGCATTAAAATCATATCTATCAGAACCGTGGATTTGCTCTCTGCTCATCCAGTGTCGACTTACGTTGACTGATCAATTCATTAAAACAGTTTAAATCAGTTGTTTTGAAAGAATAACCCGCCACCTACTGTAATTGTAGTTTCATATTTAAAAGTATTCTATTTTTTTTCTATCTGTTCATATTTCTGTATTCCAGTTTTTATATTTAAACATTAATCTCATAGCATTATTCATGCAATTTGTAAGTGCAGTGTAAATGCATGTACAGTATAAGTGCTAAAAAAATAATAAAAAAATAAGTGCTTAATTAGGCCTATACTTGACTTTTTTTAAACAAATCCACTTAGCCAGTGTAACCTTTAAACACACACACACACACACACAAAATATATGAGTTTTTAGTCGTTTCTTGAAGATGGTTAAGGACTCAGCTGCTCTCTCTCTCTCTATATATAAAATATTAAACTTGTATTTATATGATACCATTGAAAATTATATATATATATATATATATATATATATAAACAATTTTTATGTTTCTCTATATATGCATAATTTCACATGCAAAAGTCATTTTTGAAAACAAGATTTTTGTGTTTCATGTGAACAACTGAACTGAATCTTTAAGGCGAAATTCCCTTTTGGATGGATCTGTGTTGAAATGACCTGATTTCGCCTTATACAGCACACAGCGCATCAATACAACAAAAGCCACTTATAATATTTATTTGTTTGTTTTGTTTGTATTTATTGTGTCGCTTTATTAAAAATCTGTCACAAACATCAACGTTGTATTTAAAGCGTCGTTGAAACAGTTTGACAAAACACAGTTTGAGTTGCACGAACCGAAAAGCTGCAAACTCTCCATCCTGTAAAACAAAGTAAAGTTTCTCAGGCTGTAATAACCATGCACCTGTAGAGGACGCGTCAAGGCGTCAGGTGAGCTCGCGCAGCGCGCAGCGGCAGGTGCCCCGTGACGTCACCACGGCGCTTAGTTACTCCACCAAAGATTTACCGACAATACAACAGCAGCAAAAGTAAGAGATTGAGATGAACGCCGAAGAGCAGTGAAACAGCTCGAGAACGTTTCACACGGTTTTTATTTCAGACACATGATCGCGAAGTGAAAAGATGGGCCGTAAGAAACAGGAGGAAGAGCAAAACAACCCCGAGTATGGTAAGACTGTTTCTGAGTACAGTGAGAGCATTTCTCAGGAGGATCCGCTATAATGCAACAGGCCATGAGTTCATACCTACTTCAGTGTTACAGTATAGGCTATAATCAATATATGATAGAAGTTGGCAGGTCATGCAGTATCAGGGAAATGAACAACTGTGAAGTACTTGCCTGGAAATTAATATAATCGTAAAAGGTAATATTTCCATAGTGAATACTGTATATTTTATATTTTTCCTAGCTCTCCTGTGCTCTAAAGTGTTTGTGTGTGTATATAATATTTAATATATATATTATAAAATATAATATAATATATTAAACTTGTATTTATATGATACCATTCAAAATTATATATATATATATTAACAAATTTTATATTTCTCTATATATGCATACAGAGAGAGAGTTTTTAAAATCTTTATCCATGTGTTTAGGATGACTTTTTTTTGGTGGTCTGTGATAATTAAAAATAATATTAGTACAAATGTTAATGGCATATCCTTTAGTTAAGTATAAAGTAAACACGTGTGTATTCACAGTGACTCTTGCAAACAATGGCTTGTTTTGTAAAGGGTGAGCTTGTGAACCTGATCCAGCCCTTATATTAAACCGACATAAACGCTCCAAACCTGTAAAAACTGATCATTCTGCGCCCTTCATTCTGACAGGACAATATCTGCAGTCTGTTCAGAGAATTCACTGTCTGAGATGCTGTTGTGAAGTCACAGCTCAAACCATTAGCTCAGATGTCAATCTTTACGATACCTTGATAGTTAAGAAAAACCCATATACCTGCTTCATGATGCCTTAATGGATAAAGAAGTCATTCTTGAGCATTGGAGTATGACTTCTCATCGTTGTTTCAACATACAAATGTCTCAATGCTCTTCTTCCTGTGTAAATTTGAGAAACAGGAAAGAGACGTGTGTTAAAGATCTAGTTTTTTCTTTTAGTTTTTTCTCTGTTTACTCTGATCTGTGGTGTTTATGTCAGTCGATCATGGGTATGTTTTCTTCCTGGTCACCCAGTGTGCGTCAGTATAAGAGAATGCTGGAGATAAGACATTTCTTGGTGGTTCAGTCACTGGATAACAAGCCTGTTGGTCAACATTTAAAACAGCAAGAATCAAATATTCATAAACACACGCACATTCTCACACGCATGGTGTGTTTTAGAACAGCTGATGTCATTTTAGCATTTAATAGCTGTTTTTCTTTTTTTTTTGAAGTGTGGAAATAATTTCTGAAAGATATGATAATAACAAAACATCAACGTTGTATTTAAAGCGTCGTTGAAACAGTTTGACAAAACACAGTTTGAGTTGCACGAACCGAAAAGCTGCAAACTCTCCATCCTGTAAAACAAAGTAAAGTTTCTCAGGCTGTAATAACCATGCACCTGTAGAGGACGCGTCAAGGCGTCAGGTGAGCTCGCGCAGCGCGCAGCGGCAGGTGCCCCGTGACGTCACCACGGCGCTTAGTTACTCCACCAAAGATTTACCGACAATACAACAGCAGCAAAAGTAAGAGATTGAGATGAACGCCGAAGAGCAGTGAAACAGCTCGAGAACGTTTCACACGGTTTTTATTTCAGACACATGATCGCGAAGTGAAAAGATGGGCCGTAAGAAACAGGAGGAAGAGCAAAACAACCCCGAGTATGGTAAGACTGTTTCTGAGTACAGTGAGAGCATTTCTCAGGAGGATCCGCTATAATGCAACAGGCCATGAGTTCATACCTACTTCAGTGTTACAGTATAGGCTATAATCAATATATGATAGAAGTTGGCAGGTCATGCAGTATCAGGGAAATGAACAACTGTGAAGTACTTGCCTGGAAATTAATATAATCGTAAAAGGTAATATTTCCATAGTGAATACTGTATATTTTATATTTTTCCTAGCTCTCCTGTGCTCTAAAGTGTTTGTGTGTGTATATAATATTTAATATATATATTATAAAATATAATATAATATATTAAACTTGTATTTATATGATACCATTCAAAATTATATATATATATATTAACAAATTTTATATTTCTCTATATATGCATACAGAGAGAGAGTTTTTAAAATCTTTATCCATGTGTTTAGGATGACTTTTTTTTGGTGGTCTGTGATAATTAAAAATAATATTAGTACAAATGTTAATGGCATATCCTTTAGTTAAGTATAAAGTAAACACGTGTGTATTCACAGTGACTCTTGCAAACAATGGCTTGTTTTGTAAAGGGTGAGCTTGTGAACCTGATCCAGCCCTTATATTAAACCGACATAAACGCTCCAAACCTGTAAAAACTGATCATTCTGCGCCCTTCATTCTGACAGGACAATATCTGCAGTCTGTTCAGAGAATTCACTGTCTGAGATGCTGTTGTGAAGTCACAGCTCAAACCATTAGCTCAGATGTCAATCTTTACGATACCTTGATAGTTAAGAAAAACCCATATACCTGCTTCATGATGCCTTAATGGATAAAGAAGTCATTCTTGAGCATTGGAGTATGACTTCTCATCGTTGTTTCAACATACAAATGTCTCAATGCTCTTCTTCCTGTGTAAATTTGAGAAACAGGAAAGAGACGTGTCTAGTTTTTTTAGTTTTTTCTTTTAGTTTTTTCTCTGTTTACTCTGATCTGTGGTGTTTATGTCAGTCGATCATGGGTATGTTTTCTTCCTGGTCACCCAGTGTGCGTCAGTATAAGAGAATGCTGGAGATAAGACATTTCTTGGTGGTTCAGTCACTGGATAACAAGCCTGTTGGTCAACATTTAAAACAGCAAGAATCAAATATTCATAAACACACGCACATTCTCACACGCATGGTGTGTTTTAGAACAGCTGATGTCATTTTAGCATTTATTTTTCTTTTTTCTTTTTTTTTTGAAGTGTGGAAATAATTTCTGAAAGATATGATAATAACACACACAACACACACAGCACACAGGTTTGTTTTTGTGAAAAGTGGGGACATCCCATAGGCGTAATGGTTTTTATACTGTACAGACCGTATATTCTATTGCCCTACACCAACCCTACCCCTAAACCTACCCCTCACAGGAAACTTTGTGCTATTTCAGATTTTCAATACACTCCATTTTGTGTG